GCATTGTAATAAATAATGAAATCACAATAAGTTGGTGATGGATGCCAGACATTGAGTGAGTGAGTGAGTGAGTGAGTTTAGTTTTACGCCACACTCAGCAATATTCCAGCTATATGGCGGCAGTCTGTAAATAATCGAGTCTGGACCAGACAATCTAGTGATCAACAGCATGAGCATCGATCTGCGCAATTGGGAACCGATGACATGTGACCACCCGATCCCGTTAGTCGTCTCTTACAACAAGCGCCAGACAATGCGAGTTATAAGCTATAAACCAGGGTGCCGTTGTACAAAACAACCTTAGCGCTACAACAGTCGTAAGTTTACAAGGGAGTTACGATCACCTTAGGCTTAATATCGCTTTGTACAACGGCACCCTGGTCGACATGAGGTGTCTAATGTGCAAACACTAAAGATTGAAGAGTACTACATTACAGGGGTAGAAATAACTTTAAAATTGCTAGTGTACTCCCCGGTACAGTGGCACATGTAAAATCACTTGCCCTGATAAGTTTTCCACTATACCGTCCGTTTTCTTGTTGATTTTTTAAATAAACAACATTATTAACATTGGAAAGTCAACTGGACACCGGTACAGCGTGATATACAAATTTGCTTGCCCAACAGAAAAAAACACTGGACTCGGACGTCGGGCAATGGGTTATTTCCACCCCTGACATTAACCTTACACATTAACATATCAACATTTTTAATATGAAACAAAGCGTGGCAACTAGTGGTATACATTCGTTGGCTAATGCTTGTTAATGGACAACTGAATACCTGACTCTGTGATACACAACTCACAAACTGCTAAGGATATTGTACCTGCTCAAAAAGAAGTTGGAAGTTTATGGAGTGTTTTGTTTGCTGTTTAATGCCACAATATTTCAGCCATTTTACGACAGACTATAAATAATGTAGACTGTACCAGGCTATCCTGTAATCGACATCATGAGCATCACATTACGAAATTGAGATACGATAATTGAGATACGAAATTGAGATACGATAAAAGGCATCAACCAAGTCAGCAAGTCTGACCATCCGATCCCATCAGTCGCCAATTACGACAAGCACGGGTTGCTGTTGACCATTCTGTAAGTAACCGAGTGTGGACCAGACAATCATGATCAACATTATGAGCACCTATACAATTTGGATATGATCACATGCATCATCAATTCTGTGAGACTGACCAGCTGATCCATCTAGTCGCCTCCCAAGACAAGCACAGATTGTTCAGCACCTACATTCTCACCCAGAATACTAGGCTTTGTTCCACAATGTGATTTTAGCCCAAGGCAATCATAACTATAACTACAAGACTGGTTTGCAAAAATCCTGTTTTACAAAACGATCATACGGCTACGACTGTTGTAAGTCTATGTCTAAGTTTGGGAGCCACGATCACCTTAGTGCTACGATCACTTTGTGAAATGGGGCCCTGGATCTTACCAGTCTTTCAGTCATATTTAAATGTTTAGCTGGGAATAAAGCCAAAATTTATTTCTGTTTTGTTGAAACCCCTCAGTGAATGAATGAGCAAGTGAGTGTTGAGGAGTGAAGGTGATGATACAAATATTAAACATGCCCCAATCAACTAGGTACTGGAACATTCTAATAGTATACATTTTTGTAAATAAACATTTGTAAACTGCCCTATGGTATCAACTGTATATGCATATATAGATATCTGTATATTGATATACATACCGATAAACATGGACACTAATGATTAGTAGTTACTAATCAAACTAGCCTAAGATGTCATCGAAACGAGGAATCAGCAGTGATTGTACTCTGGCGGTAAGAGTTTCGCCTGTAACCCCTACTTGAAATCTTAGGGTTAGGGGTTAGGATTAGGTCCTGACATCTGAATCTTTTTAGAAATCATTTTATTCCCCAAAACTCTAAACCCCCTTTAAACGCTTTAAAAACAAAAAATAAATAAGCACCCCTTTTTTTATAAAAAAACCCATCTATTCTTAGGCATATAATCAGAAAAAAAAACCCCAGGGGTTACGGGCGGAAATCTTTCCACACTGGCTGCAGCAGTAACATGATATTACTCTTGAATGCTGCAGAATCAACATTAGCTTATTCTTGAATGTTAATACGCTTAACCATTATCTCTTACACTGGAACAGGTACCATACCATTAACATCAGCACAGATGTAACACAACCACAATTTCTATCCACAGCTATTACAATCTGGATCCAACCAACAAATGATATAAAATAAAAGAACACTAGTGACCTACTCGTGCACAAAAACTACAGCGGCGCTGCCAGCCACATCATCATTCTATTATTATGCCTAATCGTGACAGCTGAATATTTTCCCACAAAATATATTAAAAAAAACCCTGCAAATCTAGAATCTACTCTATATCCATTTGTATGCAAAAAATGTATCTTGAATGTACAAAATCATACAAAAGGTTGAGTATCTACACGTAGGAGCAGCACATCGGAATAATCTAACATTGTTTAGCAATATTCTAGCAATATCACGGCAGGGACACCAGAAATGGGCTTCACACATTGTACCCATGTGGGGAATTGAACCCAGGTCTTAGACGCGACATGCGAATGCTTAAACCACTAGGCTACCCCATCCCCCCATTTATTTAGACTTGCAGTCAAAGACAAAGCACAAGGTTCACTTGATGTGCTTTCAAATGGAGATGGCTGTAGACCTTGATGTAGAGGTATTGTATTGATATAAATCATCTGATGTCAATGAGCTTGAACTAAGTATCATTTGTTTGGTAAATGACATGTCGCAAAGTCTCACACATACCCAGTCTAAGTAAACTTGGGCTCAGTATTATTCGTTACACTGCTATTCTGTGTCTAACAAACCCTAGCTAACCTTTGAGCGACCTATGGCCGTCCAATCAAATGTGAGACGGATGAACGGATTTAACCAATCAGACAACGGTTACTGTTTAGAGTTCGGCGGGACTTACAAAATTCCCCATTCACTGACACTGATCTCTCAACAAACGAAAATCCGCATAAAACACAGATATTTGACCTGCAGTATATACCCTTAGGGCTTTCAGATGACATTGTTACCATCAGCAAATATTTCCGCAAGATGACATCAATGACTATTGACAAAACACTCTTTTCAGCCACTGTTAACTCACTGTTGTGGCATGCTCCATGTGCATCACTCGGAAGCGATCGTACGGAAAATAGCTTTCGGAATCGTTCAGGTACAAACCTTTTGAGGTAAAAGTTCAATAGGTATGTGCGAATGTCAACTTTCGTGATTTGGTAAGCTGTGTTCTGATTGGTCAATTAAAAAGGTTAGCTGACGCGACCTTCTACTAGGGTTTGTTAGACTGGGTATAGCAGTGTAACGAATAATACTGAGCCCAAGATTACTTAGACTGACACATACCAATTCACAAAGGCATGAGACAAGTCTGTAAATGTTGACTTAAATCGGCTAGTGCTTAGACACTGTAAAAGGCTTATCCTGAGCAAAACAAAGATAGGGACTAAAACATCACCTGTACAATGCCATATTACGAATGAAATTAAGGTAATAAAACAGACAGTCTTGAACAAAAAAACTTTCAAATTTAAGTCTCCATTATCAGGTACAGTTAGCATAACACATAGCTGTCATAATATGATTTAATTTTCAAATCACAGCATCTGTATGGGGATACCGATAGCTTAGAAACTAAATTTGCCATTAACTATTTACTGTATGCTACAGCAGAATTGTAACTGTTTAGGTCTACAACTTGGGAGTCGGCCAACCACTGATTGGGCTTAAATATTGAAGTTAGTGTCTTGATAAGTCATGACTAGCAGATCCTTTAACATCAATGGGAAACAACTCTGTATGGAGTTGTTGCACTTTAGGTCACTGGGAATCGAACTTCACTAGACAAAGAATAACCATTGAGGAAGTGTCCCCCACAAGATGCATAAATACAATAAAAAATAACTGGTATGTTTTGTGACCATGCAACGCAATTCCGGACCCACATTTACAGCAAGAGCATAGAAATGTTAAAGTGTTATATTATGCATGATAAGTCAAAAGCATCACTTTTATGGCATCCTATATTGCCCTTTAGGGCTGCAACAATTCACCCAGACCTTGATTTGATTTGATTTTCAATATTTGACCCTCGATTCTGTCATTTTCGATTTGATTCTTCATACAAGTGAAAACAGCAGATTTCATTTAAGTCTCAGAGTCAGCTTTTTAGTTCGAAATCCATCGTCAACTTGGCGATGTCTACTAACAACAATTCTCATTGGATAATTAGCCCTGAATCAACCAATCACGTTTCGACTTTTTTCAGCACTAGAAACTGCTCAAGTTGAGTCCAAATTACGTTCTGGCTATGTGGAAATAATAAAAATAGTTATTCAAATGTTGAATCGAAATAGTGATAACAGTTATCAAAATCAAATCTAAAGTGTCAGATTCGATTTCTGATGAATCGAACCAAATCATTGCAGCCCTATTGCCCTTAATTAACGTTTTCACTACTAACAATATTTGGAAATCTTAACTGAAACACAGACACACAAAAAAAACCCTCTTGAAATGTTCATTTTTGAGAAATGACAACCCAGACTTGGGGCAAATAGGCATCTGAAAAAATTGAAATCTGACATAGTCACTTAAAATAAAATGAAATAGTATTCATCTATACTTACTTAGTATGGTTTTAACAACAAAAAACAACAACATATTTTTAACATTTGATCACGCTTACTCTAAATCAGCAAATCTTCCCATGAACAAAAATGTGGTTCATTATTGAGTGAGTAAGTGAGTTTAGTTTTACACTCTTTTAACAATATCCCAGCAATATCGATGGCAGGGACACCAGAAATGGGCTTCACACATTGTACTCAAGTGGGGAATTGAACCCAGGTCTTAGATGCGACATGCGAATGCTTAAACCACTAGGCTACCCCATCCCCCCATTTATTTAGACTTGCAGTCAAAGACAAAGCACAAGGTTCACTTGATGTGCTTTCAAATGGAGATGGCTGTAGACCTTGATGTAGAGGTATTGTATTGATGTAAATCATCTGATGTCAATAAGCTTGAACTAAGTATCATTGTTTGGTAAATGACATGTCGTAAAGTCTCACACATACCCAGTCTAAGTAAACTTAGGCCATCGCCCCTGGTTCACAAGAGATTATCAACACTTGTATACTACATACATAATGATGGTCAATATGTACTGGTAGTTTTAAAAATGTCTTCTACAAACAGAGACATATGGACCTAACAGGAAAGGCTATTCCAAAATGTTCAGCTCTCTACAGGTAATATTCTGCCCAGAAAAACAAAGAAGAAGACTGAATCTCTAGATGAAAAATGACACTGTACCATTCAATCTGGACCAAGTTATTTCAAAATTCATGGGTGGACCTAACTGGACTCCACTGTCAAAGTTGTGTAAAACAATGTCTTCAGCACTAAATGAAATACATCCTGATAAATTAACACCGCAGTCATCATGACTGGAACTGACGGGCTTGGGGTTGGTAGTATTGTTGAGTGGGTCGGCGCTTGTCAGGGCGGGGTTGTCCCCCTTGTCCCCCTTGATAGCTGGCTCCATTACCACTGCGTCGAAACTCCATGGAGTTGATTGGCCCAGTGAATGCACCCTGGCCGGGAAAAGGGGGTGGGCCTTGCATGACCATTGCCCCCGCACTGTGTGGGGGGTTGTTGTAGTAGGGTTGCTGACTGGGGGGACCCTTGTGGTAATTACGCGAGTTGTTCGAAGGTTGCTGTTGAAGGGAAACAGAAAATATACTAGGTGTGAATTATAATATATTTAGACTGGAAAATGAACATGATAATTGCAATGGCAATTTATTTTCAAAATGGATTCACAAAGACTTTACCGCATGTATCTCAGAAGACAGAAAAGTAATTTAAACCATTGTCTAAATAACAAAAGTAAACTAGAACTATGACTCTTGATTTCACTCTCAGCTTCATGGGGAGTATACAAGCCTAGAGGCCTGTGAGTTGACAGAAGGTGAGTCATCTAACCAGGTACCCATTCACTGCTGGGTGAACAGAAGCGTTCTACAAACGTCACTAACCTAAGATGACAGCACATTTGCTACATGTGTTCAGTGTGGGACAGGATGACATAGAAACCCTCAGAAGTCTGAGCTGCAGACAAGCCAAGGTACCAGACAAACTCTTCTCCATGACCAACGCCCCTTAACTTGCCCTGATTTAACTTGTACCCTGAACATTGAGTGAGTGAGTGAGTTTAGTTTTACGCCACACTCAGCAATATTCCAGCTATATGGCGGCAGTCTGTAAAATTATCTAGTCTGGACCAGGCAATCCAGGGATCAACAGCATGAGCATCGATCTACGGAGGTGCGATACGATGACATGTGTCAGCGAAGTCAGCGAGCCTGACCACCCGATCCTGTTAGTCGACTCTTATGACAAGCATGGGTTACTGAACATCAATTCTAACCTTGACCTTCACAGGTCGCCCCGAACAATTTGACATCACAACAACCATACATTAGGATCACAAGAATCACAAGTCAGTGTAGATCCTGAGAGGTCAACTTACCCAAGTTTGCTGTGAGAGGTTTTCGATATCAGACAACAGCACTTCCTCCATATTGCCATATTCCAAGAACGTCACAACACATGTGGCTCCATTGGCAGCAAAATCCTCGATCCGTGCCATGTAGAACTGCAACGACAGACAACAAGGAACTGTAGCTATACAACCACAGCATTCCATAATGGGGGAATAAGTGTGTGAGTTAAGTTTTATGCCAGTTTCAGCAATATTCCAGCAAGATCATGGCAGCGGGGACACCAGAAACAGGCTACACATTGAACCCATGTGGGGGATTTGAATCCGGGTATTCGGCATGATGGGCGCACACTGTAACCACTAAGCTACCCCTCATTCCATGATGAGTGTCAGAGAATTGAGCAGCATACCTTGATAACACTGGTGCTCAGTCTGCTATCAATCTGATAATTTGTGACAAAGCAAATCTCCCCCGCCCAGCACTTACCCGACTGTCCTCCCAGTACTTGGCCATGCACTGATCTCCCTTCCTCCATGAATGACCTTCACCTTGTGGGGGACCTTCATGACGATGTTGTTGTTGCTGTTGCTGTGAATTATGAACGTGAGTCATCAGAAGACGACATATTCCCTCGGACCCCACATATTTGAAAGAACAAATCATCTGACAGTTACTTAAGTCCAACTTGATTCTTTTTGGACTAAGTCCAAATCATTTCCATGGAAATCATGAAAAAAAAATAATGACAAAAAACTGCAAGTAGCAAAAGGCACCACTATGGGATCTGCCTCATATATCTGCCAAGTTTTGCTGAAAGATATTGAAAAGGTTTGGAGTTGTGCTCTGGAAACCATTTGAGGAAGCCCACCCCTCCCTTTTGAGACTAAGTCCAAAACGTTTCCATGGAAACCAAGAAAAATAAAAATGACAAAAATCTGTAAGTAGCAAAAGGCACCACCTTAGGTTCTGTTTGATATATGTACCAATTTTTGTTGAAAAATATTGAACGGTTTTTGAGTTATTCTCCAGAAACAAAATGATTACGGACGGACAGATGGATGAGGTGTCGACTATATCCCCCGGCATGTAATGCAGGTAACTAAGTAACTAGGCAATCATCATGAACTATAGAAAGAAAGTTCATGTTCTTTCTGCCACACTTCAGTATAATACAGGTGATTGTAAATAGTGGTGGTGGAAAGAATGTATAACAATGGAGGCTTCACATACTTCAAACAACAAATCCCCATTTGTCAGATCCTACAAATTATATAATAGAGCTCAGAGCAGGCAATCCAGAGACTGACGTACAGAGGAGGGGGTGTAACAACATGCTGAGGCTGCCATATGACTCCTCATAATAGTGTGTGGTATGATTTGTAACCTGTACAGTACTTTCAATTCATACATTCATATTCTTTCCCTTTCTGGGGAAATCACAACCATGAATAATTTGAGATTAAATTTAAGACAATGAAAATGGGAATTTGTTTCAGAGATACATATAAGCTTGGGGGCACTGTGCAGATTCTGCTATTAATAGCCAATCTGAAAATACTAGAGAATCTGCATAAATTGGTTCTTGAACAGTTCCTGTTATTATTCACATTTCCATTAATATAAGCTGTAATGTAATGAATCATATATTTTGCGATGCGGGAGTTGTAAATAGATGTATTGTGTCCTGATCCTTGTATTGCAATGTATAATAGACATACAACACTAGAATGGAGCAATGCCTCACATCAGGGTGTGAATGAGTTTCGTTTTATGCCGCACTCAGCAATATTCCAGCTATATGGCAGTGGTCTGTAAATAATCAAGTCTGGACAACAATCCAGTAGTCAACAGCATGAGATCCGCCTCACATCATCTAGCCCAACATGATCCATATGGTTGCTCGTTGCAGTTTGCTCTATTTCGCAATTCCCTCTATTTCGGAATTCCCACAGAAGTGCAATGAGTAATTACTGTGACTGCCTTTTCATATTTGTTATTTCTTACCTCATATGGTTTTCTTGACCCATCTTGCTGTGACCTTGAACTCCTCTGACCTTGAGCTTGGCGATTGCCTCTTTGGTTGTCAAAACGGTTATCACGTCTGTCCTCTTGGTGGCCATTGTTCTTTGAACTGTGTTGTGAATCTTGCCGACTATTATATCTATTTTCCTTGTATTCTTGCTGATCACTGTAATTGTATGATCCAGACTTTGGACGGGACTGGTTAAAATCTTTCTGACCACGTTCGTATGCATTATAGCCTGACTGGTTGGACCGGCTTTGATTGTCTGTTCTCCGTTGAGAATCCTCTCCCCTTTGAGTCCTATCAGAATCAAAATTAGAAAACTGTTGACTAGAAGGTTTCTGTTGGTGGTAGTTCTGCCCATCCTGGCCGTGCCTCCCCGCTAACCTTGGTGGAAGATTTTGTTTGCGATTCTGAAAGTTTTGCCCTGAGAAGTCTTGCTGTTGAGACTGTTGTTGGTGATGGTTGGGTGTGGACTTGTAGCCTCCGGACCTGGAGTTATTTTCATAGTGAGGCCGCCCACTGGGCCCTGAGTTGCTGCGACTTGAGCTGCTGTCTGTTGATGACTTGTTGTTGTTGTAGGTGGGACGACCTGAGGCACTGGATGACTTTGACTCTAGAACATAAACTGACTGTTTAACCTGATGTGGTTAATTTGTGGAGACGAAAAAGAAGATACTTTTCTATGGACAGTTCGGATAGACGAGGCAAGGGCTGTTCGTGAGATGGACAGGTTAGTAATGGATGAAGGCATGTCATAATTAGATACTTAAGTAGTTTAAAAGGAGAGGTTGACAGATGGACCGAAGAGAAAATTGGGGGATAAATGACTAGAACGATTGATGAAGGGACCGATGAAGGGGTAAGTTAGTGACAGAGTTGAGAGGATGGAAATATGTGTCTTATCAACATTTTCTATCTCAACTAACTCTCATAGACTTATCTCATTTTTATGTGCTGTGAGCATGCATTGTAGAGTTAGTCCGACACAAATGGATTAATTATGAAGATTTGGTGAAGGGGAGAAATTAAGTGATGGATTGTGTAGTGTGTAATCTGGTAAACTGAAATACATGTCAGTGAGTTTGTTTCTCGTTTAACCTCTCGCACACAGCGATTTTCCAGCTATATGACAGTGGTCTCCAAATAATCAGGTTTGGACCAGACAATCCTATGACTGAAATCATGAGCATCAATCTGTGTACTGACTGACTGAGTTTGGTTTTACGCCGCTTTTAGCAATATTCCAGCAACATCACGGCGGGGAACACCAGAAATAGGCTTCACACATTGTACCCTTGTGGGGATTCGAACCTGGGTCTTCGGCGTGACGAGCCAACGCTTTAACCACTAGGCTACCCCACCGCCCCTTGATCTTTGGAACAGGCATGTGATTACATGCATCAACCATGTGAACGAGGAAGACCACATGATCTCATACAACAAGCGTGGGTCACTGAAGATCAATTCTAAACTGTATCTTCAAGAGTTGACTGGTCAGTGGGTGCACGGATTGATTAATGGGTGTGTGGTTGAATGGATAGGCAAGTATGTGACTTAGAAAAATATCGAACTTGATTTAACAAAATTCTCAACTCTCAAAAGATACCATTAGTTTTTAAGTGAAGAATAAATAGAAAGCTCAGACAAATATCAAGAGGATCACACTACCTTCCTTGACTGGTATCTTAGTTTCGAGAAAATCGAAGAGTGTGGCTGGACCACTCGGTCTGGCTGATACTCCGCCCTCTTCATCGTCATCCCGATCTCTCCCACGACGCCCACGCCCACCTACACAATCAACATTGGTTTAGTTTACAAGACAGATGGCTCAAATTTTGGTGTCAAAAACTTTCTAAATTTATTGAAAGAAACAGCAACCTTTCACCAACAAATTAGATAATAGGCTCAATGTAGTGGTGACATGGGTGCTTTTGTCAGTTCAGTGATCATATTATAATAGTAGTCCGCACTATTGTATGGGTGTTGTGATAACCAGTGTTGCAATAATATCAAATAATCTTTTATTCATCATCATCAGTAAAAGATCAGCAAGAAGCAAGAGTTCTTTTCTCACTGTCGATTAATTCTTAACCATAAATCCTTTAAAACAGTATAAAGGCCATGAACAAATCCACACCTTGTCTTGATTCCATTGGCTGTCTTCGTTCAAACCTGTCACCTCGATCTCCTCCACGACCACCACCCCTACCACCCCTGGAGATGAGGGAGCTGATGGCGTCGCTCACGTTGCCACTGGTTTGCCGTAGTGCTGTGCTTGCCTGATCTGACGTGAAGCCCATCTCCACAATCTGAGCAACATCTTTGTCACTCACATGCTGCCAACAGACATATTGTACTTTACCTCATTTGGTCTGTTTGCATACAAGCAGTAATAAAACTGCAATTTTTATCGTCTTAGAACCAAAACACTTTAATCCATAAACATATTTTGTAAACCTGTCTTATTCCCCTCTGAATGTCTCATGCTGTCTTCCCTTCTGCCTCACCAGTGTCACCCACACAAGTTGTCTCCCCTACTGTAAGGCCTCACAAGTAACGCCCATACCACCTCCATATCTCTTTCTTCACCTCCTGTACAGCCTCATTTTCACCCATCCCACCTCTGTATCGATTGTCTGGTAGAGCCTCGCCTGTTTCATACCCCCCAAATGTCTTTGTCTTCCCCTCCTGTAGAGCCTCACCTGTTTCATTCCCCCACCAAATGTCTGTTTTCCCCTCCTGTAGAGCCTCACCTGTTTCATTCCCCCACCAAATGTCTTTGTTTTCCCCTCCTGTAGAGCCTCACCTGTTTCATTCCCCCACCAAATGTCTTTGTCTTCCCCTCCTGTAGAGCCTCACCTGTTTCAATCCCCCACCAAATGTCTTTGTTTTCCCTTCCTGTAGAGCCTCACCTGTTTCATTCCCCCACCAAATGTATTTGTCTTCCCCTCCTGTAGAGCCTCACCTGTTTCATTCCCCCACCAAATGTCTTTGTCTTCCCCTCCTGTAGAGCCTCAGCTATAGTTGCCTGTCTCTGCTGTTCGAACTCACTCTCTTCCGTCTTATCCTTCTTTCCAGACTCCAAGCTCTTGAAACCCTCCTTCTTCACTGCTGCTGCTGGATACAAATGATATACAATGTACCTTCACAACTACATCCCATTAACAAGATGCTGTAGTGTTGGGAATTGGTTAAAATCTCATAACTGAGATCCGATCAATCATCGAAAATAATTGGTTAGCATCATTATGAAATTTGTTAATGCACAAAAAAATAAGGATAAAAACGTAGTTATTTTGGGGTTTTTTGGCAAAATTTCACATCTTTAAAGGATGACTAGTATGTTAGGAACATAAATTTCTTGGTGTCTTTAGATAAATTCAATCATGACTTGGAACGAGCTTGTAGTGCTTATGATATGTAACAGACAAAACTAACCTTGTGAAAAATATTGTTGATGAAAAGTGTTCCAGAATTGTTTGTGTTCGATTATGAGAAAACATGAACGATTGCGTGGTCGTTTAGTCACTGCGACCAATCTTGGATTATTTCAATCAATAGGACCACCACTAGGATGCTGACATGGGAGTGATGGAGGCTGCAGGGAACTGCAGTCCTCTTATTCTCATCACCAAAACAAAATAATGTACAGTTTACCTTTGTCTAAGAATGCAGGGACAGAAATGTTGATTCATGCACCTGTGCCCCACCACACTTTCACATTTACACGTTTACTTTGAAAGTAATGACGAAAAAAATCAGTGAGTCCTAATTGACCTTGGCAGCTATATTGTGAATATTATTATCAAACTTGGGGCTTGGTAAGTCTAGATTTTCTTATATATGGCAGCATTTTAACATTGTAAACTGGAGGCAATATGATAATGTAAAACGAAATTTATGGAGCGCTTTCTCTATGTTTATCCTCCTGTCCTCTAAGACAATATGTACAAAGCCATATCATAAGTATTGAACATATTAATATGAACTGGGAATGTTGAAAGCCAGACAAACTGTCAACTGCTTGAGTCCTTGGGACAGAAACTGGTCATTGACCAGTCTAAATAAAAGCATGAGACCATATTTGAACACACAGACACACAGACATTTGAAATTCTCTATTTTCAGTATATCTTTATTATTTTTAATGTAACTGCACTGTTTAAAGTAAAATGTGTAGCTGGCTTCACATAATAAAACTCATCAGCATTTATTTCAAAGAAATATCATTTCCATATGTGCCCTTTAGGCTCGAGGAACGTCATTTTGGTCTTACCTCTGTGATTGGGATTGTAATCATTAGTGGGCAACTTCTTTCCAAACGGAACAAACAATGGTGGGCCGCCTTCAGTCTGTACACCGGATCTTGATTGCTTGGCCAGTTTCTGTCATTGAAAAGGACATTACTATACACCTTGAAATGTATTTCTGCATCTAACACCATTTTCTTCATGAAAAATATTCAAGATTACAAGAATCCAAACATTAGACCATAAATCTGCATAAAATCAATCTGTGATCAATTTCAACCATGATCCTTGATCATCCTGGGGTAACACTTAATTCTATTGTGATAAATATTACGGACCAATTTGACAATGAATGCTTTGCTTGGGAAGGGATGTTGACATCTTCATCTCTTTCCAGGAACATTCCACAGAATCACATACAACTTGGACACTTACTTTCAGCATCCTACCCTCAAATCTGATTGAACCTAAAACTATGGTTGTGTATGGCTCCATGGGTTTTATTGTCATGGAATGGAGATATAGTGGGTGAGTTTGGTTTTACGCCGCTTTTAGCAATATTCCAGCAACATCACGGCAAGTGACACCAGAAATGAGTTTCACACATTGTACCCATGCGGGGAATCGAACCGGGGTCTTCCGCGTGACGAGACAACGCTTTAACCACATGGCTACCCCACTGCCCCGAATGGAGATATATAGGAGACAAAAGAGTGAGTGAGTGAGTTTAGTTTTACGCTGCACTCAGTAATACCCCAGCTACTGTAAACGTATTATATTTCGCGCAGGTTTTATTTTCACGCTTTTGGCGCAAAACATTTTAGTGCGAAAATTTATACACCGCGAATAAACCTGTCATTCATTCAGTCTAGCCACGCTCGCCCCTGAGTTGTTACCATAACACATCAAGTTTGAAGACAGAAATCTACGGGAATCTTAAAATGACGACTGATAGTAGCATAAAGAATCTTACTTAACTGTTGCTGTAATGGATTTCCCAAAACATAATTAAATAATGAGCCAAATCCCATCGCCGAATTAGCGAAAAACAGCAATGTGTGTTGTGGCCGCCATGGAAATTGGTCACATGACAGATGGTTTGATACAAAACAGATTACCATGAAACGACTCGGAAAGAAATAATACAGCAGTATTTTATTTATTCATTAAGATTTTATTTACCAGTACATCATGAAGCGAATAGTCACTTAACACTCAATCATCTCATTCACAACAACCCGGCTTGTTTGAAATCACAAAGAGCTTCATATACAGAAGAAGTTAATTCGTCAGATCGTCAAGACTGATGTGTTTTTCATCTCTTCCGTGAGTAAACGGATTACTGTGTACTAGTATATCGCACAGATAGGGATTTCCTGTGAGTAAGCAATAAACGCCGCCTGACAGGTTAAGCCACTCTGTTTGTTTTCACTGCTATTAGTGGCGGCCAAAGAGACAGCTGGCAGTTCCGGCAATTACTGATTGCGCGAATAATTGACCGCGCGATGTAGTCTAAACTGTCAATTCCGCGAAAATTGCACCACGCGAAAATAAGTACGTTTACAGTATATGGCAGCGGTCTGTAAATAATCGAGTCTCGACCAGACAATCCAGTGATCAACAGCATGAGCATCGATCTGTGCAATTGGGAACCGATGACATGTGTCAACCAAGTCAGCGAAACTGACCACCCGATCCCGTTAGTCGCCTCTTACGACAAGCATAGTCGCCTTTTATGGCAAGCACATGGGTTGCTGAAGACCTATTCTACCCCGGATCTTCACGGGTCAGGAGACAAAAGAGAATAGCATGTATAAATGGCAATATTAGGGTTAAATACAATCCAGTGAATGGTAATATGAGTCGCTATCAAGGCTTTCAAAATCCAGTGACAATCAGACAAGCCACCAAATTGGACCATCCCATGCATTTTGTGGCCATTTATGACCATCATTGGTTTTCAGGTAGCTGTCCTAACCTGGGATCGGAAAAGGGTTCCAGATATAAGCACAACTCACTCTCTTCAGTTCCCAGGTCTCCACCAACTTCTCTACTTTCCCTCCAAGACATCGGAAGTTTTTGTTGGTCAGTAAGAGGAAGTTGTTCTCGACATCGACAGCACCCTCTAGCATCACCTTTGTGCCAGGAGGAGTACCAAGGCTGTAACAGAAGTGACGAATGTCAACCTATCCAACTGCATGCAGTAACATTGTTAAAACGTTTCTCAACTGTATGACCCATTCCAATTTCAATTAAATCACAGTATTACAGGTATATGGCGTCGGTCTGTAAATAATTGAGTCTGGACAAGAAAATCAAGTGATCAACAGCATGAGCATCGACTTACGCCACTGGGATACAATATATGTTATCACATCGTGTCGAGGGAAATACGAGGGACTGATAAAACCCCGTATTTCCCTCGACACGATGTGACAACGCATTTATCTAGCCGAATGTTTTTACTAAATCAAAAGAAAACAATACACATCGAATCGACTTGTTTTTATTTATGTGAGATGCCATGTTGACAACAGCTGATCGATTGACCTCAATGCAGCGCATGTTACTAAAGGCTTGGCGATGCACGCTTTTCTCACTTCGCGTGGTCACCGAGGCGTGGCGGGATAATATGACTTTTGTACTCCCTGCTCGCGGATCGTGACGGGTGTACATGGTATTTTATCGGAGTCACATGAACCAATCAAAACTTGACATTCTAACATGAGGCTAGATAATGGCATGTGTCAACCAAGTCAGCAAGCCTGACCAACAGATTTTGTTAGTCACCTCATATGACAACATGGGTTAGTGAAGACCAATTCTAACCCAGATCTTCACAGGTTAACCACTTCAGTGAAACCAACAAAACACATGTATGATGAAGACAAATAAAGTAACATTATTGCGATGAACTTGGCTTCTGACCCACCATTATAGGTATCAGTCATGTCCAAGGGACATAACTCTGCAAAGCCAAATGCAGCGCCTAGGACAACTGGGTCACCAGTACCCACTTAAAAATAGTACTAATTCGTTAAATAAAGTAAAATTCTGGCACCCTTGCTTACATATCCCTGTATATTGGTGCACACTTGTTGAAACTATTACATGTGAGATTTCTTACTTGATGTTTTTGAGATTTTCAATTTCAATGGCTGTGCAGTTGATGTGACCATCAGTCAAAGAGAGACGGAGAAGACGAGGAGCTGTTTGAGATTCCTCATTTTCTTTTGGGGCCGAGATGTTCCGTAGCTTCATCAACTGCAGCACTGCTGGACCCTGAATCTGGAAGTAAAACAACATTAGACCAACAGAACAATGTCCACATTACACATTCTTCCAAACAATGCCTTCCAATAACATTTCAAGAAAACGACATTGCTTTGTCATGGACACGTAATATACTCCATGTCTCACTCTGCTTGTGACGCTCTGAAATTGAATTGACAACTAAGGATAAATGACTACACCCCTACAGTTAATGTCTCCTGACACAGTCCAACCACTGCATTGTGACTTTGTGGCGATTGAATACTGAACAAACTGTTTAGTTTTATCCCACTTTTAGCAATATTCCAGCAATATCACGGCGGGGGACACCAGAAATGGGCTTCACACATTGTTCCCATGTGGGGATTCGAACCCGGGTCTTCGGATGGACGAGCCAACGCTTTAACCACTAGGCTACCCCACCGCCCCTTGATTACCTAGAATACACATGTGATCACCTGTCAATCTGACTGAATATAATAGCGATTGGCAATTATTGATATGAATACATTACCAATTAACATTAATACACATGTTGTTAGGCATAAATGAGATAATGTGAACACATTAGCAAGTCAGCTTTTAGTGTGATTTTGGATCAATTAAATATGTTTTGATTTAAAGGAGAATACTAGGCAATTGCAAGAATTTGCTGGGTGAAAAATAAAGTCATCAGAAACATGTACCCCAATGTTTATTTAAAATATATTGTTTATTATGTTTTTATCACGAAAACAGTTTTCTGTTATCTGAGCTTCGGCCATTATGCATATTCCACTGGAACTCATGTGACCTTTCTGCTCATGACGCCGCTTGTGACAAGCATCCGCCATATTGCTAAAGAACAAGCGCTAAAGTAATACAAATCGTGTTGTTTCTGTAAATGGTACGATGGTGTATTCCGTTGCCTGGGGTGCACGGAATCATCGAACAATGGAAAGAGCCACCATTTCTTCCGTTTTCCAAGTAAAGAGACAGATTTAGGCAGGAGAAATGTTCCGATCATTCGGAGTCGGACGCATATGAAAGAGACATGCACACATGGAGTATGAAAATCTAAAAGCAAGACTGAAGAAGGAAGAAGTACCCACAAGATTCATTTATACTCCATCATTCCCTGTTACAACTTACTGTCAGTGGTACTTTTAACATAAGATTAAAGTCCGATTGCCAGTCGAATTGCCCCCGCTACAAATTGCCCCAGCAAATTTTGTAAACTTGCCCCAGAGTTTTGTTCAAATTGCCCCATGGGGTAGTCCAAATGCCCCAATTTATTTAAAATGATTAAATATAGGCCATAAATGCATAGTTTTGTCAACTTTGATATTATGTTCTTTATATAAAAGTATATACATAGTTATGAGTTTACTAATGGAACCTTTATCAGAAATATTACTGTTATGTGAAGAACCTAATATCAAAGTTGACAAAAACTATGCATTTACAGCATATATTTAATCATTTTAAATAAATTTGACCAAATTAGAATGAATGACCAAGTTTGCTGGGTCATTTTGTAGCTGGGGCAGTTCGACTGGTACCCATGAGATATATATTATCAAAATCAGTGAGAGATTTCTTATAAGCTTGAACATGTTTCGCTATAACATTCTTTTCAGTTTGGAGCCCTAAATGCTGCAGTCTACCCGAAACAGTGCCGAATACAATGGCAAATCATGAAGTACTTGTTGCTTTCATTGTTTTCTATTTCATCCAATTACGCACATTGGCATCAGACTCGCTATTTGTCAGTAGTGTGTGCCGTGAAAGTTGTTCTGTATTGTCATTGGCTGACAAGATGCCATTCTAAGGCTATGACCGAGTACCATAACTATTTCCATAACCAAACACTAGGGAAACATACATTGTCCTGACAAGTATTTAATAATTCAGCAGTTTGCGGGGAATAACTTATCTGCGTCGCGAATATTATCTCTGCTCGACCAGGCTGGGATCTTGTATGGAGACTTGATACGTTATTAATGAGAACTAGGATCCTAATTTTTTTGCAACAAAATAATTCCATTGTAATTTTGTAGCAGATAATATCTATTTTCCCCCGTCTGAAGCATAATTATTTTGTTTTTAAATCCCAGACACCCTACAGTCACCCATTTGACACAAAAGGAACTGCAATTACATTTAAAAAAAACTTAATTCTTAGGGACTGGTCATATATTTGTAGGGGTGAGTTTGCTGGTTGGAACTGTATCACATTTTGCTGACAAATAGTATTCTTGTTAAATGATATGGTCTATTTTAAAATTTATTTTGACCTCAACCGGTGCCTCTGTTTTGCTTGGTTCTTCTTCATCTTCACTGAAACATTGTCTTGAAAGATGTAAAATCGGATCGTATTGATACGGTCTAACATCCATTTCAGAAATGACATCAGGAACATCTTTTACTGCTTCAGAATCCATGGACACTGTTAAGTTGTGAGGTAAAATCAAAGAGGAAGCCATCAGCAACAGGCACATATGACGTCATGTCACGTGATACCCCCTCTGCTCATTAACTGTCGGGTGCTTCCGTAATAGGCGGAAATACGAGTACGTTTTTTGGTATTTTTATTGCTATTTTACAAACTTTTTGTTCACTTTTAATCACGGAAGGTGACTTTTAGAACATCCTTTACAACATATCAACAGTTTTGTTTTCGTTCGTATTCTCCTTTAAGAAATTTAATTTAGGTATTTTTTTAAATTTAATGACCAAAATATCCTAGGCCTCGTTCATCATTCCAGTGTACGACATCCTTTTGAGGCCATAATGACATACTTCAGATGCAATTATTTCTTTTCATTAAACACCTATCAACAGGGCTCGAAACATTTTAAAATCTGCACTCGCCCTGTAGGGTGAGCAATATGAACTTTCTACTTCTACTTCTAAAATTGTACTTTCCCTATAGATAATACATCACAACGACTATAAATTTATATTATTTTTTTCAAAATGTTTGCTTGGAATAAAACTTCAATAAACATTACTAACTTTGTCTTCTGTACAAAATCTTTGACAAAATTGAATTCGTTCACCATTTAAGGTAGCTGAACTTCAAGTAAAAAGAAACATGTTACTTTTGGATCAGAAATTGTACTCGTCCTTTAGGACGAGCAAATTATGTTTTTCACTTGCCCGAAACAAATTTTACTCTCCAATAGGAGTGGACAAGTGGAATTTTCGAGCCCTGTATCAACCGTCAGGAATAACCTAAAATATCAATATCAAATTGTCTAATTTTCCAAAATTCATAGGTATTAAACAATTTAATTCAACATCAAATTCAATGACAAAAAACATCATCCTCGTTCATATTGGAATTACTGAAATATTAATGAAAAAATTCATATCAACAAAGCCAAAGCCAGATAGTTATAGCTAGAACATGATTGGTGAATTAATAGTGACATTTGCAGCCAACACTGACTTCTGAGCAGATCAAGGCGGACCAGTTTAACCCACTAGATTAACCAATATGCACACAAAATGCACACACACACCCACCCCTACACAAAAAAGAACAAATAGAAAAAAAACAAACAAATTAAACAAAAAACAAAGTCATCAATGGCAAAATACTCTTCATGATTATGTCTTACAAGTTATGATTATGTCAAATATTTAGGTGTGTATATAGAAAATAAATATTGAAAGGTTTTTAAATTCAGCTAACTACATTATGTAAATGTGATGGAAGACTTACATTTTTTTCAGAATTCCAAAAATACCAAAAAGTCCAGTCTGCCCTTGTCAGAATTCCAAAACTACCAAGGCACCAGTACACCGCCAGATCTATCTATGTGAAGTTCCTCGGGCAGCCATTTATCTCCAACATCCCGCAAGTCAGTCTGCAAACAAGTGATACCGATTTATGTTCTGGGCCTTCATCAGTGATATTTCCTTTTTGTATTTTGTGTCTGTTTCACTTTATCTGTCTGATGTGCTTCGTGGAAAACATTAACAAACAGACAAACAAATATGCAACACATTATGTTTTATTTATTTGCTGCTGGTGTTCAGACAGCTATGTTCCTGGGGGAGTTGCTGTAACATATTTCATGGATGTTTTGATGTGGACTGACAATAAAACACGAAGCAATTCTTATGAAATACCCTGACAGTATCATCTCCAAAATATCAATACAAAATGGAATATTCTGACTGACTGAGTTTAGTTTTACGCCGCTTTTAGCAATATTCCAGCAATATCACGGCGGGGGACACCAGAAATGGGCCTCACACATTGTACCCATGTGGGGAATCGAACCCGGGTCTTCGGCGTGACGGGCCAACGCTTTAACCACTAGGCTACCCCACCGCCCCTCAAAATGGAATATAACATTTACAAGACTGTAACAGATCAATATATTTCTTGCGTTGTGTTAATGATAAAAGTTTAGCCAAACAGAAATGTCATAGTTACTATGATCTTAATTTCCTTGAAACAAACTAAAAACATTCTTCAGAAAACAAACATTTTCAAATAATTTGTTTTAAATCTCTGAAATTATGAACGATCTTTCTATAAAACCAAAGAACGTGGAGAGGCCTTTAATACATTTTCCCATCAGAAAGATAACATAGGAAACATTCATGCCCTGACACATCGTAAATGACATAGAGAGGAACGACATACATCAATGGCTGTTTTGATAAGTTGATCCACTCCTCTTTTCCCATTTTGTTCCAGCTCTGCGATGCCTTCTGCTGTCAGATGCCTGTGAAAATATACAGTGGAATCAACGAGTGTGGAGTCATTACTGAAGGTTGGTTACAATAAGCAAATTATCTAATTATTGGCACTGGTACTTTTGGCGTGAATTACAGGAATAGTTTCCAAACTGCAGTAAAGTCTCAGAGTCCTACATATACCCATCCTCGATAATCTCCAAGGTATACGTTACGATAACTCTCCACTATACCCTGGATGCATCTACAGCACGGCCCGATGATTTTATTACCTCCCTTTGCTGGCCCCGCATTCTCACAGTAGCCAATCAGAAAACATACAGACAAATTGACAGGTCTGAAACCTTCAAAAATATATATGCAAGAACTCCTTCTTTCAGTATCTTGCAACATAATATTATTGTGTTGACAAGTTTAATCGGTTAGATAATTTAAAAATACGAAAGTGACAGGTTGTGATTGTGCAAGAACTCCTTCTTTCAGAGTGTCTGACAATATATTATTTGGATGAAAAGCCAACCGGTTAGATAATTTAAATAATATGAGTTCGATTGGTGCGCTCAACTTCCCAGTGAGACACCTGGTTGGATTAAAAGCCAACCAGGGTATCGGGCGAGTGGAGAGACATCCATTTATTGGGGAGTCATATGTATGGAGATTATCGAGGATGACATATACCAAGTTATTATGAAATTTGGTCATGATTGTGGTTGACACATTAATCCTTGTTATCATCATAAATATCACTATCAAGAGGTGACAGATTTGTTGCAATTTTTTTAGGCTACTTGTCATCCATAACATGTTGAAAATCCCTAACACACTGGGGTGAGCTGAGGTGAGGTGAGGTGAAATTGGATTTAACGTCATGCTTGGGAATATTTCGCTCATATGACGACGTGCGTGTGTGTGTGTGTGTGTGTATGTGCGGCTGCTTGTACTAGCCCAGACTTAAGCTGGTTTTATAGTGCTAGCCCACTGAGATACCATGCCGCAGTGAAGCATGGATACCCCACTCAGACACATTATACTGACTCCGAGCCGACCAGTCCTTGTTGTACCCATTAATGCCGAGTGCCAGGCAGGGACCAACAAGTACCATATTTTAACGTCTTTTGGTATGACGCAGTCGGGGATCGAACCCGCGACCTTCCGCTCTCTGGGGGACGCTCTAACCACTACACCATGGAGGCGGTCGGTTTCACACTGAGAATTGTATTAATAAGTGTCAAATGTACAGTAAAATACTGTTTAAATTTGAATAAAACACAATATAACAACCCACTTGATATCATTAATGCACTTTATTTCAAATGTTTTACATAGATTCAGATAATTTTACTGCAGTGACATTGTGCTTTTTATGCGATATGATCTATATACAAATATCACAACAATTTACCAACAGAGTGAGTGTGCCATTAAGTGAGTGAGTGAGTATAGTTTTACGCCACTTTTAGCAAAATTCCAGCAATATCACAGAGGCGCGTGCTATCAAGTGGAGCTTTAGAAAGTTTGTAACCGTTCTCAGAATATATTTTGGAATTCGAAAATATTTCTTTCTGCTGATATTGTACAAAATGTCTGATCTTAAATCTGTAGGAAACAGACAAAACTGATGCAAGTGGGAAACTTCGCTGTCATAAATATGCTGGTTGTCAAAACTTGTGCACAAAATGCAAAAAGAAAAATGTGCATTCTGAATCACCTGGAGCATAATACAACACATTCCAGGTGCATTTTTCTTACGGATTTTCTGAAGATGTCCATAAGAATATTTAGAGAATGTAAATTAAATTTAGGTTTTCTTTCACTGATTGTGCAGCGTCAAGTGAACTGGCTGAAGTAAGCATCACTGAGGTGTGTGGGCAACCCAAGTCTGAATATACAGGTCATTGGCTTCATGACGTAAACGACATTGTTGCTTCAATAAATGGGTAGTTGCAGTCCTATGGCCTAAAAAGTACAGTTCATTCGTTCTGTCATGCCCCTCCTAAAGTAAAAGTTGCCAAGTCAGAAATTCTACACATTCCTATTCTGGGCATGTTTAACTACATACGGACGCAAAATGACTGTGGCTTTTCATAAATATACACAAGAAAATGGAAAGAATGCACATGCCCATGTGTCATACACACGTGTACTTTTCTTCCTATAATTTTTATACTGTACACCTACCATCCCCTACGAGCCAATTCATCACCCGCCATATTTCTTCCACGAAGTAAAGCTTAATTTCATTGGTGAAAATTAAATGCATTGATCCGCAGCAAACAATCGCAAAAAATATTTTACAAACTTTAGAAGCTGATAGTTTTCATTGAGATGTTTCATATCATTTTAATACCTTCAGTGCATTAACAACATTTAAGAAGGAAAAACCGAACATATTTTCCCGCAGCAATAGCAGGTGTCCCACCCAGTTGTAAAACATATTTTGATTGGATGACTATTTTTGTTGATTACTTTTCATTGGACACAAGTGACCTCTGACCTGAGACTTGTAAATTTCTGAAAATGGCGGAAAGGGATGACTAACTGGGAAGTGAACTGTTTTTGAACCACCGTTGTTCTTTGGTGAAAGGAGACATTTACTAAGCTGACAGCAGTCGGCATTATTGCATTTGTCCAGTCGATCCTACACCTGTGTGCAGTGTTTGAGAGGATTTTAGCAATTGCTATGAGCGGTTATGTGCACTGATTAAACTGAAGGCCAAACACGCTGCTTATGATGAGGTTTCTGGTGTAGTCACACCTACATTTGGCGCAGCTGCGTCTGCTAAACTTCATTACTGAATAGGTTGGAGCTATTATACTTTGAAGATGGACAGGAAGGAAAAGGATAAGGATAAGAGAAACAGTTTTGTAAGTAGACCACATATTTGAGCTTCAACACATCTGTTTATTGTTGACATTGCTTAATTTGAACTGTCATTGTGACAATGACATGGACGACTTTCCAAGTTCCTAGTCATTGTTTTTGTTCAAGTCAACGCGTTTGTCTGCGGACTTTAGATGTTTAGTTTAACCAACATGAAGTCAAACAATATAATTTCAGCTAACATCATCCAAATTCTATAGTAATGTTTAATAGGATTCAGCGCTGGAAGAAATGTCGGATATTTACGATGGTGTTTATTGTTTGTTTTGACAAATCGTCAAGTATCATTGTCGTTAACAAACACATACATGAAGTCTTTGCCTTTCAATATTTTTATGAACCACTCTTTCATATTTAGCATCAAAACAAGTTCTGCGTTTTCTAAAAATGAAGTGTGTGCAGACATGTAATGATTTTAGTGGCTATTCTGCCCTGTGGTTGTTGTTTAAATTTTGTTGACCAGCTGATGATACTCAGTTAACATATTAATTCCAACATGGGTGTGTAAAGCCAATTATTCTTGCCTGCAATGGTGAATATATGAGTGAACTTGTTTTGTATATTTTACCCCAGTCAGCAATTTCAAAGCAATATCCCCAGTAACATGGAGACATGTAATTTGGAATCATGACCAGAAAAAACCCAGTGGTTGATAGCATGATGGAGAATCCAAGTCATCTTATAGAATTACATTAATGCACATTATACAATTATACATGTTTACATATGCTAGTCAACTCTTACAACACGCAGTTCATGCATGTGTCTCTGGGACATGTTAACAAATTATTTCAGCTCCTGTATTGGTTATGTAGAATGTAGATTTGTTGATAGTGGTGCAGTGGACTGAACTGACATTCAAATTTCTGTTATGTCACTCATTCTCACTCACTCACTCACTCACTATGGGGGGATGTTGTATGAATGATTACCAGGAAGTGCTGACTTTCCTGTTTTTCTGACATGCTACTTAAGCAGCAGGCTTTCAGCAGGATCTATTTCTAGGGCGTTGAACGCCGTTGTCTGGAAGGTTGAATACCGTTTAGATAAAGATAAAGTATAATAGCTGTTTTGCAACTGGCCTATATCTAACCTCACCAGACTCGAGCTAGTGACAAATGGCATAACACAACCATGCTCATGTTGATAATCCTGACAGTGACATTCCCGATAAAGGAAAAATTGATTGAAGGTTTTTTCCTTTGAGAAAGTAGAATATTATCACAATAAGATATATTTATGAGATCGATAACTGAATTATGTAAATTGTTTTGAAGAATAGCCTTTGTTTTGACCTAACAAATGGATACCTCTTACTTTAGTGTGAACAGAACAAACGTTTTTGCTAAATTCACTAACCATTTCTTCAGTTATACACTGATTGATTATACTGAAGTAGATACACAAGTATCTATGAAAAAAACAGCATCCATCTCTAGTGTGACCTTGGCAGTTTTGCCTCTTAGTGATCTGAATAGAGTGATTACACATAGTATTCACACTTTGCTAAGGATCAAATCATTGATTCGGCAGAAAACTATTTGGTTTAAATATCTAAGCTTATTGTAATCATGGATCCTAGGGTTCAGTGTGTCACTGCATCTTGTGGATCCCATACCTGCTATTGACAGGTGTTGTGTACTAGTCAATGACTCGTTCCATGATTTCCAAATTGTTTGATTGGTGCCACGAAAACCATTTTTATGGTTACTCATATATCAAGTACATAAGGTTAGATTAAAGTGGCTGTTTGCCTAAAGAAGGGTTACCATATTATTATTATCCAGTTTTAAATGGATACAATTTCAAATTATAAATCTATGTTTAAAGTTGGGAATTTTTGTGATCCTTAGCAAAGTGTGAGTAGTATAGTGTGGTTGAAGAATATTGCTCCGTGAAATCTGTCTGTAACAGTCTACTGGAGGTGTAGCCTGTATATATGATTTCATTTACAGAAAGGTTATTGTAGATCATCTTTACAGGTGTGGATCACTTGTGTAAACACAAGCCATTATATTCATGGCTGCAGTATTAAATCAACAGAGGTTCACACCCACATCTGTGGGGAGTATTGTGGAGTTGAATGATCGGAGAATTAGATATTGGAGCAAGGATTAGGAGGAATGTAAGATTTAAGTCATGTGTTGGCAACTTTTCCAAGGATTAAAACAAAAGCCAGTGGATCTAAAGGGTAGAGCTGAAATTTATAACAGCAAAGCAAAGGGTTGTATTGCCTATAAACAGTTTGAAGAAGATGAGCGAAAGGGATTGATATATTATTTATCTGACATAGTTATGTCTGTCTCAGTGTCTGATTGAAACTTGAGGAGTACACTTTATGATGTGGAATAGATTTTGTTGGAAACACATAATGTGTTAAAAAATTCCAACTTGCATTATTAGATTTAAGGATTTCTTTGGATATTCACTGGGGAAAATATTTTTTTCTATTTTTTCCTTCAAATTTATTTTTAAATTCAGATGTTTATTTTGATTGTATTTTGAGATTTTTTTGCATAAAAATAATACAAAACTGAATTATCATGATGTAGATTACTGTATTGTCTGGTCCAGATTCGATTATTTACTGACCGCCGTCATATAGCTGGAATAATGCTGCATCATTAGTGTATGCGGCTTTGAACAACAAGCAAACAAGTCAAAACAATGTAACTTCCTTATAGAAGAGTTCCAGTAGTCAGGCTGTGAAAGAAAATGATTAAGCAGACATGAATATATGGCTTGTATCTGTGTATGAAGAAAATCAGTTTCGTTGTCAAACATTGCACAGAATGACACACATCTAAAGTGTAAGGTGAAAACCTTTCATAGTCAATAATCACCTACAAGATCAAAGGCATTTATCTGTTGATCATATTGGTATTGAAATATACTTATATGTATTGAACTGGTTTTGAAAGAACCTCAACTTGCGTGCAGTGGAAGAAATTTATGTGCAGATGGTGGTAAATTATGTTATTGTTATGGCGACTGCAAGGTGTGCAGTCAAGCAGAACTACCTGCTGTCGCCATTACGGGTTATCTATAACTTATACCTTGCACTTCCTGAACCGTGCGACGTCACATGCCTTGTTATTGCGTTTTCATGATTTGTAATCAGATCGCTCAGTTAACACATAACTAATGTTGTATACTTCCTGGACAGACGCCATGGGGTGTCCAGGGTGGAATTGGTCCCAGCGGCTTCCTCTGGTTGTATTGAGTGATGGAATATGTGGTTGGAGTCTGTGGCTTGGTTGGTTGTATCAATGTATCCAAGGCTCGATTTAAGAGATGTTAACCTACTTGCACCAGGTGCAACCTAAGATAAAGACCTAGTTGCACCAGCCAAATTCCAGTTGCAACGTAGTGTGTTAAAATGTTTCGGTGCACATAAACCTTAATCAGTGATGTAGTACCCATGAAACCATAGCAACACTGAGACACAGCTGATCCCTGTTTACAAGAGCTGTCATAGCCGAGACGTGTTTATGAATAGCAATGTTATATTGCCATAGCTATTCAAAGTTTAGAAGAAAAATGGGCTGGCATATCAATGCATATGTTAGATTTATTGTTGATTTATTTATCAACAATTCACTTGCACCTTGTGCAAGATAGACTCATAGCTAGGTTGTATTTTGTAACATTGGGTTGCACCAGTGCAAGTAACAAGGCACTAAATCGATCCCTGGTATCCAAATGGCAAGGCTTGTTGCCCATAGGTATCATTCACACTTGGTTCAGACTTGATCATGTACATGCTGATGTCAGTGACCCTAACTTGTCAGTGGTTCAATGGGGTGGTGGGGTAGCCTAGTGGTTAAAGCTTTTGCTCGTCACACCGAAGGCCTGAGTTCGATTCCCCACATGGGTACAATGTATGAATCCCATATCTGGTGTCCCGTACCGTGATGTTGCTGGAATATTGCTAAAAGCAGCGTAATAACAAACTCACTAACTCACTCACAATACACAAACTGACTACAAGCTGATGCAGATCTCTGTTTCATAGTATGAACTTTACTTCCATAGTTTTGTGCTGAATGGGTCATCTCGACTCATTAACTATGAATATGTGACTGTTTGATTGTGTGAATGTTATTATGTAGAGACCGCATTGAGCTGTGCACATACTTAAGCTTGGAATGGGTAATTAGCAAGTAAAGCAGTTATATCAACTAACAGTTATTACTTTATTAATAGTCTCAATTACCAGTGTCTCTGCCAATAGCATGAGAATTGAGTTCCTATTTTATGAATGCTATGCTCAACCGGGCATAAAGTCATAAGAGCTAAAATATTGGCATTTGTTTTTAAAATATACAACTTATATTTTATATTATTTTGTATTTTTTGAACAAACTATTCATGACATCTGTCATATTAATTTTGATGATTGTGATTGATATGAAGCAGCCACACTGTTTTTGGTAGGACTACTTCCTGTTGTTGAGTACATAAAGAGGAAACTGTGTACAATATGCTACATTTAAATAATGTTTAGATACAACGTATGACATGCTACAGTGCATTTGAAAGATGTTTCATGATCTGGAATATATTTACAATACATCTCCTTTTCACATTGTCCTTATTTTATCTGGTAACGTCTTGACAAATAATTTGAAATTTTGTCACTTTATGCATGAAAAAAGTCACATCATTTGACTAACGCTTAGTCTCTGAATGTATATAGTTCTGGCAGGAACAAATAGACCCATTTAAATTGAAAAGGAGCCCAGTTGGGAAATTCAGAACCTGAGGGAATCTGGACTTGCTTAATGTAAGGGCTTTAGTATTGCAGGGAGGGCTAGGCAGTAGGGAAAATAATGTGGTTCAGGGACTGCTAGACTAGGTGAATTGCCACAATCATTTGTGGAACAGGGTCCTTAAAGGTCACAAGCAACCAAAAAATCAAACATAATTAAAACACAATTATCACTTATTCATGACATATAATATACATTGTTGGTTATGAAAA